CCAACACCTTCAGCCCCTGTTCACCCTCATGCCCCTCCAGGAAACTTTTGCTTCATCTTCAATTCCCTCTGTGCCATCCGAAAGTAACCAGCTTTGATTGGGAGTGCGGTGCTCAAGTAGATATCGATGACTGACCCTCACCTTCTCTGGGTGGGTTTTAATCGCAGATAGCTCCTCCCGAGGGACCCGAAGCGAATGAGAGGATGGTGATTATCATCGGTTCGCCAGAGGCTCAGTTTAAGGTGAGTCAGCCGACACCAAATTAACCAGCCGCGGTAAAGTTGGAGGGGGAGTGTGAATGATAGTGACCCTCGGGGAGGTGGAGTGGGGGGGAGTGTCCCTCGGAGCGGGTGACCACCCATCTCGGAGAGAGGGGTTGGGGCGAGTTGTAGGGAAGTATCCACCAGTAAGTGATTTTGGGGGTGAGGAAGGCAATGGCCCAGTAATCCAGAGAGCCAGGTTATGTTCTGGGGATCGAATCCCACCATTGCAAACTGTGGGATTTGAACTAATGAGAATGTAGAATTAAAGGTCTAATTTGTTGATTGTTGTGAAAACTCGTCGGGCTCACGAATGTCCTTTAGGGAAGGAAACCTTACCTGGTCTGGCCTCCATGTGACTCCAGACCCACAGCAATGCAGCTGCTCTCTAAAACGACCCAGCAAGTCAGAGTTATGTTCGAGGCAGTTAGGGACGAACAAGAAATGCTGGCCCAGCCAACGACGGCCGCATCTCAAGAATGAGTAAAATAAAAATCAAAGTGTTTCCACTTCCCCAACCCACTAACCTGTTCTGGGGAAGTGGACCCTGGACAATTTGCCCCTCAAAAGGACTGGGAGCAAACCCATGGAAACAAGGTTTGCTATTGTCATTGGTGAAGAGTTAAACCATCTTGATGCAGGTGGTGGTGGGAATGGGTGACGGTTGAGAAGGAAGGAAAAACAAACTGGAATTAAAAGGCAGTTAGTGAGTGAGCAAAGCAGATAGTAGACAGCAAAGTTATTCAGCGATCACTGGTGAATATTTCAGTGCAGGGTTTGCGATGAATGTGGCATATGTGATTAGGGCGCAGATAGACACATGGAAGATCTGTTTCAGTTTCACTGAAGGGCAAGGATGACGTTGTCAACATTCCCAGTTACAGGGTTTTCAATGTCACTTTAATTTAGTACGTTTCCATTTCATTATACAAATTTCTGTTAGCCATTAAATTGTATTTTGTTACAGCGTCCCATCAGGGGCTTATTTAATCCTATTTCATTACCTTAGTTTAAAAGCGAAGAGGGAGCTTCACTCTGTATCTAACCCTGTGTTGTACCTGTCCTGGGAGTGTTCGATGGGCACACTAGAGGGAGTTTTATTCTGTATCTAACGCCGTGTTGTCCCGGTCCTGGGAGTATTCGATGGGGACACTGTAGAGGGAGTTTTATTCTGTATCCAGCCCCATGCTGTACCTGTCCTGGGAGTGTTTGATGGGGACACTGTAGAGGGAGTTTTATTCTGTATCTAACCCGATGCTGTACCTGTCCTGGGAGTATTCAACGGGGACACTGTAGAGGGAGTTTTATTCTGTGTCTAACCCCGTGCTGTACCTGTCCTGGGAGCTCTTGATGAGGATGGTGTTGAGAGAACCTTACTTTCTGTTTAAGAGTGGAGGAAACTTCACTCTGGTATTTGACCCCATGCTGTCCCTGTCGTGCGAGTATTTGATGAGGACAGTGCAGAGGGAAGCTATACTTGTACCTAACCTTGTGCTGTCCCTGTTCAATGCTGAGAGTTCAATGGGCACACTGTAGAGACAGCTTTACTTCCAGTTTAAAAGAGTGGAGGGGCGGGATTGGCACTATTGGATAATGAAACAATTACAGCAGTGAGAAGACATGATATGCCAGATAGATCATCATATGTGGATTGAACTGAAGAGCAGAAGACAGGCTGTTACACCATTGGGTTCTCTTGTCTAAGGAAAGATATGGCATTGGAGGCAGTCCAGAGGAGGTTCCCTTAGATTGATCCTGGGTATGGAGGGTCTGTCTTATGAGGAGATGTTGAGTTGATTGGGCCTGTATATATTGGGATATAGAAGAATGAGAAGTGACCTAATTGACAAATGGTTCATAGGGGCCTTGACAGAGTAGATGCAGAAAGGTTGTTTCCCCTTGTGGGAGAGTCTGGGACCAGAGAACATAACCTCAGAATAAGGGGTCACTATTTTAAAGGTGATAAGGTGGATTTTTTTCTTTCAACAGGTAGCGAGTATAATCCTTTACTGCGGGGGTCTGTTGTCGTTGGGTCATTAAGTGTATGCAAGGCTGAGAGAGACAAATTTTTAGTCAGTAAGGGGATCAAAGTTTATGGGGAAAAGGCAGGAAAGTGGAGTCAAGGATTATCAGATCAGCCATGATCCCATTGAATGGTGGAGCAGACTTAATGGGCTGAATGGCCTACTTCTGCTCCTATATCTTATGGACCACCTTATCAGCCAGATCTGACACATTCAGGGCTTTGTGGATATTCAGTTGAAGGTTCCTCTCTTATGGTACACATCTCAATATGATCTCATCTAATGTGTATGTCTTTGCCTTATTGACCTCCCCAAATTCCTCACCTCATATTCAGAGTTAAATTCCATTTGCCACTTCTCGGCCCATCTGACCAGTCTGTGGTTGTCCTCCTCGCTGCCAATTTTCGTGTTGGCTGGCAATCTTTTTAATCATGCCCCCTACATTCAAGTCTAAAGAGTACTGTGTCTCCTCCAGAGCCCTGTGGAACCCTGCAGTCACATAAATACCAGTCTAAGCAGCAGAGTGAATTTTCGACCTCGCTGCTCATTTCCCCGGTTCTGAGTTTCCTGACCAGACTGCCATGTGGAGCTTTCTTGAAAGCCTTGCTAAAACCCATGCAGACAATTTGAAACACATGACCCTCACTGATTCTCATCGTGATTTCCTCAAAAGTTCAAAGAAGTTGGTCAGACGTGCCATTCCCTCAATGAATCCATGCTGACTGCCCTTGATTAATTCTTGACTTCATATCCTGTCCCTCAGATGGTTTCCCCAAGTAGTCTGCACTGCACAAAGGTTAGCCTGACTGTGCTAGCTATCCCCTTCCACCCCCTTCCTTTAAAAAGTTAACTGGTTTTGTTTAACCCTTTTGATTCCATTACTGATTAAAAATGTCTCTCTCAGCCTAGAATACACTTCATGACTCAGCCTCAAACAGCTTTCTGCGGGTATAGAATTGCACAGATTCACTGCCCCCTGAGAGAAGAAATTCCTCCTCATCCCCGTTGTAAATGTGCCACCCCTTAATTCTGAGATTATGCCCTCTGGTACTAGACTCTCCCACAAGAGAAAACAAGTTTTCCACATCTACTTTGTCAGACCCCTTAAAATTCTTTTATGGTTCAATACAATCACTTCTCAATCTTCAAGGAGACCCATGGAATCCTTTCCTTTAATAGCCAAGGCGCAGTGCACAAGAGGAACAGGGTAATGCTGGAATTGTTCAGAACACACATTTGACTACTTTTTTTTTGCTCATGGCGTTTCAGGAAGGATGAAATTACACTGCAGAGGGCCCAGAGGAGATTTACCAGGATGTTGCCAGGGTGAAAATTGTACAGATGAGGGAGACTGAAAAGACCAGGGGATGTTTATTTTGGAGATGAGGCTAGATTTAACGGAGTGACCCAGACTGAGTGTTTCAGAGAGGTCGTTAAACTGTGTATCTTAATGTAAAGCAAATGGGTGGAAGGATTGAAGGGAATCAAGAAATATTCTTCACCCAAAGGATGGTGGGTGGTGGAGTTAGAAACAATGGCCACATTTACACAACACTATATAAGTAGAAGCCCAACAGTGCAGGAAGAAGCCGTTCGGCCCATCAAGTCCACACCGACCCAATCCCACATTTCCCATGGTTAAACCTAGCCTGCGCATTTCTGGACACTACGGGGCAATTTATAACAATTTACCTGCACATCCACAGGAGGAATCCAGAAACACCTGGCAGAAACCCACATAGACATGGGGAGATGTGCCAACTCCACACTGGAATCAAACCTGGGTCCCAGGCACTGTGAGGCAGCAGTGCTAACCACTAAGCTACCCTGCCATCTTCTTTGCAATGCTGTAACCTGCAAGGCTGTGAATGGTGGTGCCCAGCTAGACAATTCTCTCTAGGTAGTCCAGGTACAATGGGCCAAATGTCTGCTTTCTGAGTTTTTACCTTGAATTTCTTGTTGCTTCTCTGTCAGCAATGAGAATGTTCATCATGTTCAGAAACTGTCCTAATTAAAGACTCCTGGTAATGTCCTGGCTACAGATGTCAAGCTAACTGGTTTAAAAGCCCCTAATTTCCCTCCTACAGTCTCAGAACTGAGAGAACATTGCAGTAGTATAATTAGTCCATTTGCAATGTTCTCACCAACTGCCTCTAACACCCTGGTACAGACAACATCTGCTCGAAAGGTATTTATCACCATTTAGTGCCATTAGCATTTCTTTTTACTCATTCACGGGATATGGGCATTGTTGGCTGGGCCAGCATTTTTTGCCCACTCCCAATTACCCTAAACTAGTTGCTTGCTCGACTATTTCAGAGGGCAGTTCAGAGTCAACCACTTTGCAGTGGGTCTGAAGTCACATGCAAGTCAGACTGGGCAAGAACGGTGGATTTCCTCACTAAGGGGCATCAGTGAACCTGACGGGTTTTCTTTTATGACAATTCACATGGTCACCATCAGATTAGTTTTTAAATCTGGATTTTTATTTAATTTAAATTTCACCGTCTGCCGTGGTGGCATTTGGACTCATGTCCCCAGAACATCGGAGACTAGGATTCGGGATTACTGAAGCTGGGTCACTGGGCTTGAAATGTTAACTGTGTTTCCGTCTCTACAGATGCAGCCAGACCTTCTTGAGTTTCTCCAGCAATTTGTGTTTGTTCTAGATTACTTGTCCAGTGACATTAGGTATGAATATCTTTCTGGTTCAGCGCTAGTTTGCTCGTTGTGTCCAACATATGGACCTCTATGCGTTCTGTAAATACAGACACTGACTGATTTATTCAGCATGTTGATCATTGTCTTACATTTGGTGACATTTTCGAACACCACATTGCTCCAGCGTTTTCCTAATCTAACTGTAATTGATTCTTTGATTTTGATATTGCTTGCAATTTCCTTTAATCCTCCTCCTTTGTAAGTGGCCAATCAGTTTGACCGGGGTGTGCAGCGCAGATACAGGCACATGAGCATATCTTTAGGTCAACTCCACCCTGCAACTATCCCTCTTCTTACAAACCCAAGGCTGGACTCAGAACATATCACCATCACTGCAATAGATTATGTCGATTTATCATGATCACTATGCTGGATCGAGTTGATTATCACAGTCCCTCCACTGGATTATGTTGATTTATCACAATCACTGCACTGGATCGAGTTGATTTATCATGGTCCCTACAATGGATTGTGTCAATTTATAGTTAGGCTGTTAACCAAGTTAGGTTCATTATTAAGTCTGACAGGTCAAGTGCTGGTGCAGAGATCATCCTGATGCCAGGAAATTCACTGTCTTTCTGTTATTTGCTAGACTGACTATGCCATACTCTATGAACGTTTAGATCTCTCATTCAAACCATTCAGTCTTTGCTATATCTTGTCTCGTCTGTAAATTTATGCAGTCTACCCCTTCACAGCTATGACCAAGAGCCCAGAGACAAACTGTACTGTAATGTTAAATACTCTTCTGTTTGAACATGGAGCAGTGGGCCATTCTGCTTCGGACCATTTTCCTATCGACTGCACTCCTCTTGTCAATCGTAGCTCCGTCCGTGAAGTCTCCTCACTACAGCTCACTGTTCCTCATGTCCCCTCTCCTCACCAAAGGGAATTAACCTCTCTCTGGTTCACACCGAATTGGTATTTTGTTGACTTCCGGTTTCAGGCTCAAGGCCGGATCTACGGCAAGCTGAAGGAGGAGAACTTCTTTAGCCCGAAGGAAGAGGTCAAACTGGAGGCAAACATCAAGGTCCCATCCTCCGCAGCCGGAAGGGTCATTGGCAAAGGAGGCAAGACGGTGAGTGGTGTGTGGTGTTCACGGCACAGACTGTGCTGACCCCAGAGCCCTGTGTGACTTAGGGGTTGGGAGAGGGTTAGCGCTGAGTGTCCTTGGCCTGACCAATTCCTTCCATAATGTCACAGATCACCCCACCCACCCCAGCCCAGTGTATTTCATGACCTCACCCTTTGCCAGGCTGTCCGAATTGGTGGGTTAAGTTGTCCTCTTGGTCGATGGGAGCACACACTAGATGGAGAGACCCCTGTTCCCCATGCTTCATTGCCAAGAGAACGGGCACGTCCTTACCTCTTGTGGCCGTGTGGCCTCACTGCGGATTCTCACTGATCGAGTTCCTGGGGACTGTCCTGAGTTCACCGAGATAGACACAAGGGGCCACT